ACCTACATGCAAAGTGTTTGTTCAGCTACCAAGCCGTACTCCCTCCCTCTGACTGATCTGATGTGAAGCTAAACAAATAGTGTTCTTGCGCTGAAATGGTTTGGCATGCTCGTAGTTCAGTGAGAGTTTTGTGTGGTTTGTTGTTTCAAACATAACAGTTTTGTTCAGTTGATGCTTCCCTGTAGTTCTTGTAATTCCAGGCTGAAGTTGTCCATCAGGAATTGCAATCCAAGGCGGGAAGGAGAGAGAAACGTTCTCTGGCCACTTCATGGTTTCCAGGAATACCTATGAACTGCTGCTTTTGTCTGTTCTGGAATAGGCAGAAGTCTTTTTGGGGAACCACTGAAAGGTCTCTCAGTGTTTTTGAACAAAATAAGTATAGATAGTCTTAAGAAATCAGAGTATAAATCATAGATGGGCAGAAATTTATGCTAAGAAACAATTTCAGTCATACACCGTTCAAGTATGGAGACTTGGTTTTTACAAATTCACAGGCAGGATTTTTGGAAATATTTCCTAGAGGGAGAAAAAAATGCATCTCTCTCTCCACGCAGAAGGTTTCTTCTGTTACCTGTATTTGGTTGTGGGATTTGTTTGGAGTAACTAGACGGTTAAAACAAACAAAAAACCCAGCTGCGCACACAGTTCACTTGTCAGTAAAAGGCATTGAGGACAATCTTACCTGTCACCAAAAGGAGAGGGCACCATAAACAGAGGGCTGTCAGTGTGGAGAGGGTGCCATAATCAGGGGCCTGCCCTAAGGAGGCATTCTTCCCTATAGTCACCATCCAAGTCTCCTTTGAAGGAAGCTCTTGGAGGGAGACCTTGGATATTGAGCACAGGATCCAGGAAAATGAAGGTCAGGGGAGATGGTTGGACAGGTATTGTGGTCCCAAGTCATATAAGGCCACTGGGGAATAGCATGCTGGATAATCCATGGAACTGGTTAGGATTCCCCATACAACTACTCATGGAGTAGGATATCCAACAGGAGGAGAACCACTGCAATGCAGTACTCCCCACTCTCAGAGAGTTGCCCCAGAAGAATACTACAGTTGATAGTATCAGGAGCTACTGAGAGACCTAGGAGTGTCCTCAGGCTCACACTCTCCCTGTCTTCCTCCTGACCACAGCTGCTGCCATGCCACAACCTGGCCAGAACCTATCAGAAAAAGTTCCAGATAACTAGTCTCATCCAGGACTGCCTGGTGTTGGTTTACCACTGCTCAAAGATCTTGCCCAGGAAAGGAACATTTTCTACATTGGCCTAAAGTTCTTACAAAACTCATCCAAGAAAATTGGACCAGACTGTGCTCTTGGTACCTTGCCTGATTCAACTGCTGTAATGTTGGAGAGGTGACAAATAGATTTAAGGAATTAGATCTGATAGACAGAGTGCCTGAAGAACTATGGACGGAGGTTCGCAACATTGTACAAGAGGCAGCAACTCAAACAATCCCAAAGAAAAAGAAATGCAAGAAAGCAAAATGGCTGTCTGAGGAAGCTTTACTAATAGTTGAGGAAAGAAGGGAAGTGAAAGGCAAGGGAGAAAGATACAAACAATTGAAGGCAGAATTCCAGAGAACAGCTAGAAGAGATAAGAATGCCTTCTTAACTGAACAGTGCAAAGAAATAGAAGAAAACAATAGAATAGGGAGGACCAGAGATCTCTTCAAGAAAATTGGAGATATGAAGGGAACATTTCATGCAAAGATGGGCATGATAAAGGACCAAAATGGCAGGGACCTAACAGAGGCAGAAGAGATTAAGAAGAGGTAGCAAGTTACACAGAAGAACTATACAAGAAAATGTTTAACATCCCTGATAACCACGATGCGGTGGTCACTGACCTCGAGCCAGACATCCTAGAATGTGAAGTCAAGTGGGCCTTAGGAAGTCTGAGCAACAACAAAGCTAGTGGAGGCATCAGTATCCCAGTTGAACTATTCAAAATCCTAAAAGACGATGCAGTAAAAGTGCTACACTCAATATGCCAGCAAATTTGGAAAGCTCAACAGTGGCCACAGGATTGGAAAAGGTCAGTTTACATTCTGATCCCAAAGAAGGGCAATGCCAAAGAACGTTCAAACTACTGCACCACTGCACTCATTTCATGTGCTAGCAAAGTTATGCTCAAAATCCTACAAGCTAGGCTCCAGCAGTATGTGGATCGAGAACTCCCAGAAGTACAGGCAGGATTTCAAAGAGGAACTAGAGATCAAATTGCCAACATATGCTGGATCATGGAGAAAGCTAGTGAGTTCCAGAAAAACATCTACTTCTGCTTCATTGACTATGCTAAAGCCTTTGACTATGCTAAAGAACACATTGTGGCAAGTTCTTAAAGAGATGGGAGTACCAGACCATCTTATTTGTCTCTTGAAAAACCTATATGCGGGTCAAGAAGCAACAGTGAGAACTGGACACGGAACCACTGATTGGTTCAAAATTGAGAAAGGAGTTTGGCAAGGCTGTATACTGTCGCCTTGCCTATTTAACTTATATGCAGAGCACATCATGAGAAAGGCGGGGCTAGATGAATCACCAGTTGGAATTAAGATTGCTGGGAGAAATATCAACAACCTCAGATATGCAGATGATACCACTCTCATGGCAGAAAGTGAAGAGGTTGTTGATATTTCTCCCAGCAATCTTAA